TAGTGTCAGCCAGCAGGAGGGTGAGTTCCTCCTGCTTGTAACCCATAATGACAGTTGAAAAGTCTTATCAGTATCTTATTTTAGTCTAATTTAGCATTTTAGTAGAGCAGACTCTTACTCATACTCTTTGGACATTAAAAATTGAACCTGAGGAGTTGATCAAAATGTTTTATGAATTGTGTTCAGCTTTATAAAACTCCACAAAAACAAAAATGTTTCTGTTAATAGGCTTTTTTGAGCACATTTGTATATGAGTCTTAGCTAATATCAGACATTCCTCTCAAGAAGAGCAATGAAGATGGAAGGATCATGTGGATTTGTGCATACTTCTTTATGCTTTCAGCATAAAATATTCAGACCCTTTAATCAAGGGGGATGCCCTGAAAAGTTGCATGTTTTTTTTTCCTACAAGTGTTAATGACACTAGCAGATCCCAGTAGTTCTTGCCATTTAAAAGATGGGACACACTATCATAGAGGTTGCAGAAGGGGGGGGGGTAGAAAGGATGCCAAGTATCCATTCCCTTGTGCCAGGGCAGAGTGAGTATAAGGAGGGTACATCTACACGAGATGCTTACTGCCGAGTTGCCTAGTTAGCTCAACAGTAAAGCATCGCTGTGTACACAAGGCGTGCTGTTAGGCCGGAGTAAACTAACTGATTCCACTGTAGGATAGTATTGCCCAGTGCAAGTACTATTCTGCAGCCGGGTTTTCTCCACCGCAGTGCACATGTAGACAGTGACTGGGGCTGGCTGGAGCATGCACGCTACAGTGTGGGACACCCTTGTGCCCCAGCCAGCCCCTCCAAAGTGCATTGAGCTGGGGTGGAGCAGCAGGCTGATGGGCATGTGTATATGCTGTGCCCAGGAGCAATGAACTCTGATGTGCACCAGAGTTTATTGCATGCAATTAATTTCATGCGTAGATGCACCCCCAGACTATCACTGAGAGAGGTTTTTAACCACTTCTGAAAAATCTCCAGTGAAGTAGGTTCCACAAACTTAAGTGCTTAATGACTTTTTTCTTTTTGAGGGGTAGAAAGCTTTTCCCTGTATGTCACCTAAATCTTCTTTGCTGTATATTAAGTTAATTTCTTCTTGTCCTTCTAAGTGTGCATAGAGAACAATCAATTGTAGTCCTCTTTGTAACAGGCTTTTATATATACTGTGAGACCGCTGCATCCTGTTCTCAGTCTTCATTTTTCTAAACTAAATAAATTCAGTTCTTTTCTCCCTTGTAGGAAAACTTCTGACATGTTTAACTGAGGAGCTTTAAGAAAAATGAAACAAATTCCAACACCTCTGATATTAAATCTTTTTAGAGAAGTGGTGCTTAAACTTTTGGCCCTGTGGGCCAGATTGAGCCCCATGTGTCAGGATCAGGCCCTGTGATGTCTCTGTTCAGTCCTGCATGCCTGGATAGGGCCCTGTGCAGCCTCAGCTGACCCTCGTGCCTGGTGCCCCACATTGCTCCTGCCTTCTAGGATCAGGACCCTCGTGCCCAGTGCTGCCCTACATACTCAGTCTATCATGCAGGGCCCAGGGCTCCACATGGGACCAGAAATTTAGCAGCCTGGGAGCAGCGGCACCACTTCCCTGCTCCAAAATTTTTGGACTTGTGGGGAACGTCATGGGCCAGATGACATGGCACTCGGGGATTAGCATCCCCATTTTAGAATTTAGTGAAAGCTTACTGTATTTAAATTGCTTGTCCCCTCTGTCCCCTAAAACCCATGTCTAGGCTAGGAAGTTTCCTGCCCCAGAACATCTTCAAGTGGTGGAGAGAATACATTCCCAAATAGGGTATTTAAATGAAAAATAAAACTTGCCTGCAACAGTTGGGTTTCATTTTGATTATTTACCTATCAAGATGCTGAGCTTTGGGGCTATTGACATGTTTCTGAATAACAGGTGCAGTTTTAGAGCTATATTCGTATTATGTTCATGTTTGTCTCAGGCTAATGGTGTGAGTTGTTTTTTCGTTCGTTCTTTTTTTTTTTTTTTTTTTTTAAAGGAATATTGCTTTGACACAAACATACTTGAAGAGAGAGAAAAATGCTGCAAGTTTTTAGTGGATTGTTTATCTAGCAAAATTTTGAAAGTGACAAATAATTCTTTCTGTCGTCTTCTCTAGGTACTCACTAACTGGAGGAAGCAGTTCATCCCACTGAAATTTTGGGTTTTTTGAGTTTTTCTAAGACAGCAGTGACCCTGTTATGTCTGCATTGAAGAAGTGCTCTCTAATTCCGACCTACCCAAGTTAGTGGAGTGTTCTTCAGTGAATGGACCTTCTTGAATGTGCAACAACAAAAAGTGTCTCAGATAGTGTTGCTTTTCAGCTCCTTAAAGCTATAGTTTTTTAATTATATAATGCACATACTCCAGGGAAGTGTCTTTTTTTTTTTTGGAAAATCTGAAATGTATATTAAGGTTTGTGTTAAGGAAACTGAGGATATTGAGAAATCTCAGGTATCTTGCTTTAAGTGAACTCCTCTGGGAGATAGAAAAATGCTCTGTTGGATTTGTGTACAGATTTGTATATAGTGTTGCTTTTTTACTGAAACCCTTTCAATGTGCATAAGGAATCACTGTGTACAAAATGGCCAAATGCTTCTGTAGATAATGCTAGTGGGGTAAATATTTGACAGGCCATAACTGATTATCGCCTTGCCTTTATTACATGTACATTTTGAATTATGTGATAAGTGATTTTGGTTGATTTTGTATTTTGAAGGATTTGCCATTGAAAGATAGTTAATGCCGTATTATGAAATCTTCTATCTGTACCTCAGCAGATGCAAAATTTCTTCCTGTCTGTCCTAACAAGTCTAAAGGTGACGTCCTGACTATGGCACTACTTTAGATTGTTGTAAATTTAGCACCTCTTTTTTCATGAAGCTTTAAATTATTGTTTTTATTTTTCCTACAGGATGAATGCTTTTATATTTTCAGTTTTAAATTGTGCCAATGCAAATTGAACCATATGTATTGTTCAACTTTAGTATATACTTGTGGAGCTTGTAGTGGACTCTAAATACCGTATTTTCCATCGCAGTGTGTTTGAATGCTCACACAAATAAATTTTATAACCTGCATTTATTTTGAAACATCTCTTTAAAATCTTGGCTTTGGGAGAGTGGCAAATGGTTTCCTAAAAGATATGGTTATTTTTATTATAAAATGAAATAGTCTTGGAAAGTAAAAGGAAAAAAACCCTGCAAATTTATCAATGAAAAGACAGCACAATCCTTACAGCATAAGTCTATGCAATTAATATTGAAATTAGTAGGGATTACTGATTTCAGGATTGAGCCTTATGTACTATGCGCACTATCCCATAACCAGTTGCCCTAAAGAAAAATACTTGAATTTTGATCAAGATTCTAAGCTAAAATCTACAGCATTATAGTGGTAACTTCTAAATCATTTTAAGTGTTTCAATTTCGTTCAGTATAGTACTGTATGTATGTATTTAGTTGAGTGGCATTTCTTAATGGTGACATGTGGTTTCTTATAGCCTATTCTACCAGAACAGAAATAAGTATTTTGTTTCCATGATGGGCAGGGGAGGTAATATTTCTGTTTTAATTCAGAAATTCATAATATTCTATGTCAGGTGGGTGTGGTGTAGTTGCTGTCAGATGTCTTATCTCTTCCCAGATTCATTTTAGAACTTGGAAGAATGAATTTTATAAATGAAAAAATTAAAGTATATAACCTAGGCTGGCAGGTGCAATGTGTCTCTAGCAAAATTGTATCACAAGGGAGAGATGGTTTAAGCTAAAGTAATAAATAGGCAAGGCTTTATTTAAAAATAGAAGCACTCTCTCCTTTTTTCTAAGCATAACTTTTTATTTACTTTTTTAATCTACTTTTTTTAGAGGCTCAGAGACATAGTAGTTTAAGGAGATTAAGGTGAACTGTTGCTGTTACATATCTCCACTTAGTATCTGAATCTTGGTGTAGTACAATAAGGAATTTACCTTTTAACTGCAGATACAATGAAGCATTCTGCCATTTTATATATAGCGGAGGTTCTGTAGTGTCTGGAAACGGACTGAGGTCTTTGTAATTGAAGTTGACATGGAACCACTGAAACCTTCCCACTGTCATCTCTTAATGTTAAGAGAGTTTTAACAAGTAAAATGAGCTAGCTGGGGGTGGGAAAAAACCTCCTCTTTTGACTCATGCTGAGAGAGTCTATTGATGAAACAGTTTCATGTTAAAAGTTCTAAAGCAGAAACCTGTCAGAAAATTGTGCCATGTTTTGAAGGTGTATAGTTATTGATCAGTCCTTCAAGAAGTTGTTCCTTTCCATTCTGAAAAAATTAAGTTTTTTTTTTTTAAAGGCCAGTTGGCCAAAAGCAAAAGGACTTGAATTCATTTATGGAATAGATAAGTATATTTTTATATATAATACAATGCTAATGCAGGAGAATCTTAAAAGCCATGATTCATACTTCCTTTGAATGTAGAAATATAATCATTTGCTAGAGAAAAACATTGGTGTTTAGAAATAAAATTTGTAATGGTAAATATTTTTCATTTAAGGTAAGTTTGGTCTCAGTTGTTCTGAGCCTAACAACGCAATTTTAGTAATACTTTCCAAATTTATTTTCAGCTTAAGAAAAAGTAATGTTAAAATGTTGTACTTCGTGTAAATTTTTCTGGTGTAGGTAATGCAGCTCTCTTTTAAGAATCTGAGTTCAATAAGAGTTTATTCCTGAAATTCCTTAGTAATGAGTTACCTTTTGCTCATGAAATCTTTTAAATAGAACTGCTCCCTTGTCAGGGGTTATGAGGTTAGGCACTTAATAAAGTATAAAAATATTAACCAGACAAAAAAGCTTTCAACATTGAAAGATTTTGTCAGTTTTGGCTCAGGTAGACATTATTTTTGGTTAGAAACAATTATTTTCTGTGAAGTTGCACTGTTGTAGTTTAATAAAGCGTAGTGGCATTATTATCTTGCAAGTTGCCTCTGGTGAATAAAGCTCCCCTCCGTCCCATGTTATCAAGTGTCATTTTGCTTCTTTGCAGCCCCAACGTGTTTTTGCAAAAGGTCCCGAGTTGTAGTTGTAAAATCCCTGGTTAAGTTTTGTGATTTTTTTTTTTTTTTATGTAGGTTTTTCTTTTCTGT